AACCTAACCCTAAACCTAACCCTTACCTTAAGTTGAATCGGCTTGCTTTCAAAGCGCTATTTAAAGCGCCCCTCTTTCTCCACGCTCGCTGTTGTCGCCCTGTTGATGAAATCAGCGACGCGGTTTAATCGGGTGCGCTTTAGTCAAGCGTGGTTTTGTCATGCCACGCAGGGTAGCTGCGTCTCTGGACTGGTGGGTCGATCAGAACCACAGAGAGATAACAGACTGTCATGTAGGAGGATAAAGCATGCACTTTCTAGGAAGTAGTAGGATCAAAACTCCATTTCCTTTTTACAGGAATCGCAGGGTGGGTGGGTGGCGTCTGGACTCTCTTTATCCCGTGGGGGGTATGTCCCTGCTGTCGGCAGCTTCACGCCGTCATTGTGTATACGATCCACGCAAACTAGTTCAGGCCTTTGTGTGATGACACGTGTGAAACCCAAACCCTCAGAGAGAGGGAGGCTACGTAGGGGAATTCGAAGCCAGCCTGATCGCACTGGGGAAATTCAGCTTGAGGATAGCCAAATTTAAACAAGATTCCAGTCAACGAAAGGGCAGGGATTACCACGACGGGCAGCAAAGCTCCCGTTAGCCCTAGTATAATACTGCGTCGTGTTATCAGGACCGCCCACTCTGCTAGTAGGAGGACTTCACTTCCCACCTGACTCAGGGATCCTCACCTGGCAGAGATCAGCATGTATTGAGGTCAGTTGGTTGGTATTCATCTGCATTTTGTCTATAGCTTGCCTGAGAATGCTGATTCCGCGCAGGGGCTGTTGGCAAGCAAGCAAAAGAGTCAATTTCTACATACACGCAAAAAAAGAGATTTCTACATATGTGGAGCAGCTCCAGAAAGCTGTACACCCCCACCTACCCCCATCAAATAGATGTAAAAATATCTCACCAACTTGGCAAGCGTTTATTTACTGTGATTACTATCTTTATTTACACGCCACTGTTCTACTCCGGTGAGTATTGTTCAGCATTAACACACAGCATTTAAAATCTAGCTTTCCTCAAGATCAGCAGCCTGAGAATCAAAGACTGCACTGCTCAACTTCCTTACCTGCTTCCGTTCCACAAGGGCATTTGTTAACTGATGGCACAGGCCAGCGACTAGAAAGAAGGGGGGAAAAAAGAAGGAACTGAGAATTGAACAACATGGAAAAAAATCACACACCAGTGGCCACAATTGGTCCACAGATAGTTCCTTTTCAGTTAGACCTTTAAGTTAGTGATGCTCCTGGGAGGAGGTTAAGTTTTAAAGTTGTTAAGGTTTATTAAATTACATTTGGAGCTTCCCTATCTATGAAAATAGACAATAAGTAGAGCTGTAAATATACGTTTAGGATGTAACAAAAAATGTGGGTTTTTTTTGTCTATCAAAACCCATCTTTCACCGAGAGAAAAGATCTCTCCAAGCTGATCTTTTATTGATTAAAAGGATAGGTCACACAGTACGATCCTGTGTGGCTTAGCTTCAATTCCTTTTTTAATAAAAATAGCTTTGTAGTTATTTGCATTAAAGTTTGGGTATTATAGGAAAATGCTTTCTTTTTATTGGCCTTGTTATTTCTCCCTACCATTTTTGCTGTCGTTTGTTCCTAATTATGTTTGTGTTATTGAGTGTTCATGCATACTCACAGACACTAAAGATAAAGCTACTGTGGATATAAACTTATTTGAATTAAATGGTGTCAGGCAGGCTCTGTATTTATTTATTTATTTTTTACACAATGCTCATTTGCAACTCCTTAGCAAAACCAATGCATATTTTGGGCGAAGGAGGCCGCAGGATGGCAGGAGCCACTTACAAGTGTCGGTGGCGTATCGAATGTGCTCCCCGTTGCAAGTGCTGATGAAAAGCTGGACCTGCGAGAATAACGTTTCGAAATCAGGGACGCTGGGCATAGAAAACTTCACAAACCTACAAAGGAAGACAAAGCACACAATGCAAACCATCTCTTTCTGGGACCCCTGCAACCCACCCGAAGGGCAGGGTGTGTGTGTCAGATGGCCGGGTTGTGGGTTTTTGTTGTGTACATGCTGTGTGCCGCCACTGTTATGAGTCGGATGGGCATCTACTTCAAGTTAATAAATAGGGTAGAGAGAAATATGTGCAGTCTTTGAGTTATGACGGCAGAACAGGTGCTTTTGGGTCCTTCCAGCTGTCATTAAATGCACAACCTGCCCCCTGTGCTGACACAACCACATTTCTGGTGTTTGGCAACCAGTTTATGACCAGTTTTAAATTGTGACTGCAATGATATTTTTTTTTGCCAGTGTCAGGTGTATTTTTGCTAGTTTCCAGCAAAACAAAAATACCCCACCCAATTGGAAGAATGTACCACTTGCGTAAGGACTGTGAGGATTTGCTGAACGACCATGAAAATGTCAATCTCGGATCCAGTCACATGGCTGCCTTGACGTACGACTACACTGACTTACAAACGGATTTCTGATCCCAATTGTGGTGGTAAGCGGAGGAAGGATCAAGCTTACTTTTCATGATAGTGGATGCATTTTTTTTTGTAAAAAAAAAATGGAATTAGGTGAAGCAGAAGGTTCACAGATAGGAAGCCTCGTGAAAATCAAGTTTGTCTCTCTAGTCAAGTCCGAAGGAAAAGCTTCCAATAAGGGAAGGTCACTTACAAAACAGCCAACACGCCCAGTGAGTGTTCCTGGACATCGAGGGCCCCGAGCACGGTATCCAGGTGAGAGAGGTTTTTCGCTAGCAGTTCTCCACTTTTGTTGATCAGCTCGCAAAGCTGAGTCATTTGCCCTGAGAGAGGCGAAAAGTTTGAAAAGTGAGGTAAGAAAAAGAAGATCTATCACTCTCTGCCCTATAAATGGTCACCTCCACAAAGAAATAAATACGACCGGAACAGCCATCTATGTCAGAAAAGTAAAGCTGTAAAAAAATAAGCCAATACTGTAATTAAAAATATACAGCAGCGAGAGCATGTCTCCATAATCGCTCAGGAAACTAGAGCAGTGTTTTTCAACCTTTTTTGTGCAAAGGCACACTTTTTTCATGAAAAAAATCACGAGGCACACCACCATTAGAAAATGTT